ACGACAAATGGGAGCTGATGTCAAGGATTCCAGGAAGGGAAAAATGATTTGAAACTGAACCGTGGTAGCAATTGTACAAGACTGCTTGATGTGAATGAACCTTGGAATAATATATGTATGAACTCCCAATAAAATGCTTTTGAAAATACATATATATAGTGTAATGAGTTTTAAAAATTAGGAATGTATGACTAAGCCAGATTGCATTCTTTAGAAAAAATGAGGTCTGTAATGCATAAGGCCCTAATTAAGTGCACTTGCAACAATTAAATATCGTTTGGGGTGATTAAGATTAGCCAAAATCGCTATTGATGATAACATATTTTGTGTAATAAAAAGATGCCAATTTTCCTCTGTGCTCTAAGCGGATCCATGATTTTTCTTTTAAGTGGCTGACACGAGACGTTTTAATACAAAAAAAGAAGAAAAAGACTTTTCATCTTACCATTCCTTCTCCACACTTTGTTCCAGGAGCAACCAGGCCCACATCATTAGCATTTTGGTAAAAAAAGAAGGTTTTGCATTCAATGGTAGCATTCTTCTTTGGAACTTGAAGGCGGTAGATCTTATCTTCTCCCCAGTGAGGGGAGTGCTTTCCTCCTGTGCAGTAGATCTTCCCGCATTTGACATCGCTGAAGGAGAGTAAACACACTCAGAGTCAGCGCTGGAGACAGGCCTGCCGAGGCTGGGCTGGCCTTTCTGGGCTCAGGCGTGTCAGCAGGTGGAAGAGGAGCCAAGAGAAGAGACAGGCACACTGTTGGCCACTAAAGTCAGGACGGTGTTTCTTTTTGAGTTCTCATGATTTTCACAAATCGATATTACTCTAAGCCTACAGAGAATTGCCTATTATTAATCATTTGGATTAGGCACAACTGTAGTTATTCCCGTAAGATTTCCATCTCGTTATTTTTGCATAGAGCACACAAATTGATTTGTGCCGTGAACCTGTGAGGTTGCTATTATTGCATACCATTATCTTACAGATTTGTCTGCAATGAAAAGGAAGAGAAGGCTTACCCATTTTTGCATGGTTTGCCTGACTTGAACTTGAACATGAGACTCCTTGCTCTCTGTCATTTTCACTCTAAATGCTGCCTTGTGGTGGCCAGAAGCTGTGGGGTGTGTGGGGATCAGACCTACAAGTGTGTCTCAGAGCAGACTTTCCTAGTTTAGGCTATCAGATCTGATTCATCTTCTCTCCCTTCTACTTTCAATTTCTACCACTCTTTCTTTTTCTGGCTTTCATTCCTTCATTTCCTGGAGCCTTGGTGACATAGTGTGTTATGACCTGGGCTGCTAACTGCCAGGTTTGAAGTTTGAAACCACTCGTGGCTCCCCAGAATAAAGATGAGGCATTCTTCTGCTGTAAGATTGACAGTCTCAGAAACTCATAGTTCTACTCTGTCTGCAGGGCTGATATGAGTCAGAATTGACCCAATGACAGTGATATTGATTTTTGGTTTTATCAATGTATGAAAGTCTATTAAATGTTAGCCATTCGTGTACACTAGTGAGCACTGGTTGTGGGATGGGTTTTAGTCAGGTTGCTAACGGCAAAGTCAGCAGTTCAAAACCATCAGCTTCTCTCTGGGAAAATGATGAGGCTTTCTAAGCAGATAAACGTTTACAGTCTTGGAACGCGCCCAGGGCAGTTCCACTCTTCCCTATAGAGTTGCTGTGAGCTGTAATTGACTTGATAGCCAGGAGTTCGTCTTTTGTTTTATTTTTAAGTTATACTTTCATTCTCTCCTCTTTTCTCCCTTTCCACTAGATTTTTGCTTTCTCTTTTTTATTCTTGTTCTCTCTTTGGGCCCTAATCATCTCATGTGTTGTTCCTTTTTCTTTCTCATATTCCACTCTTTCCAGCTGAATGAAGGCAGCATGGCAAAGTCTGTCAGTCCTGCACAGGAGAGATGGCTCGTGTGCCTGCTCCGTTCTTTCCCCCAGCTCCTCAGGGAAAGCCTGGAGAAGCTGTCCACCAGCAACCAGGTGGAGTTTGTGAAACTGCTTGAGGGCACTTGGTTTGCTTCACCAGGTACTTACCTCTCTTTGCAGGAAACAAAGCTGCTTTTTGTGGTTTTGCAGTATCCATATGCATTTCCATTTCTATTCATTTCGTAACAGATATCATGACTTCCTTTTGCCTCTGAGATCCAAATGGGGTGATAAAAGTAAAAGAATGAAAGCATGAATACCATGGCTCATAAAATACCTTACTTTTCTAATGTGATTGGTCTGAGAGTATCATGTGGTGCAAAAGAGGATGGAATAAATGGAATAAAGAGCTACCCTATTGCTTAAGGGGGGCGGGGCTTTTAGCAAGGAGAATAGACAGAAACAGTAACAATTGTGCTTTAGCCTGCATACTAAGTTGATCAAGTAATATTAGAGGGAAGATGAAGGTTATGAAACCCACATCCAGGGAGATGCTATGTAATCACTTGGAAGGATGCCACAGATAGCATTATATCCTAGCTTCTCTGTACAAGAAAGGAGCAGAGAAATAAAGGCTTTTTTCCCTTATCAATCATGCAGGCATGCACTTTTATTGCCTCTTACCATCATCAAACAATTCGGAGCACTGCTCATCCCGGGTGGGACATTTCCCCATGAAGCAGTAGCCTTCCGAATTCTTGCAAGGAGATCCATTTTCTTGGAATTGATCTTTAGGACACCTAGGGGAGTGGCCAGTACACACTTCAGGAAAATCACACTCATCTCTTGCTGGTCTGCACATGGCCCCTGCTTCTTTCAGCTGTGGAGGGAAAACACAGAGACTGAAGGGATATGTTGAGATTGTAAAAGCTCAGTAGGTGGGCAGAAGGTTGACCATTTAATTAATCTAAAAAAAATAGTTTAAGGATGGACTATAACCCAATAGTAGCATTCAAATCACTTAAGAACTGGGTCACAGTCCTAATGACGGTCTTAAGTGCAGAACACTGATATACCGAAAGGTCGTTTATTATCTCAAAATGAGATCAGAACACCGCTGTTGTGCAGATGAACATGAGAAAAGAATATGGAGTATAAGTATAGATTTCTTAATTGGGTGGTTTTCCAGCCACCCGTCTTAGAGAGAACGCTGATTACAAGTGTCATTTTAACAATGGGTTTGCAGAACTCAGCAGAAAATTAGGCATAGGTTCTCCTGAACCGGTGAGAATCAGCTGAATCACACTAGTGCCCTAACTTCCTTCTTCATTGTAGTCCTTATTATTCTTAAATGCCTTACTGTGGATGTAACCTTAGGTATGGCAAGGAAATGGTTTTGAAATTTGCTGTTCCCCATCCTTGAACAAAGTTAGAATAGACATACATGGAGAAGGGGACAAGCATTCTCCTTCATATCCTTTACCCCTTGTTCCCACATATCCTGTTCCTTCTGCCACAGAAAGACGCCCAGTCACAACAACTAGGCACATGTGTGTATAAATGGAGTGCCCATTCCTAAGAAATCAGAACTCCAATGAACCCCTCCAAATGAACTCATCTAAAAGAATGAGCCAAAAATGTTTGGCTCTCATTCCTAAGGGGAACTGAATGACATGGAGATATTCCTGGATTCATCCATTTAATACACATGCAATTGTGCTGAATTCTGGGGCATTTTGACAAACGAATAAGACATGATGACATCTCCTTAAGAATTATTCATCTTATGAGATGAAAGAAATGTTAATAGATCTTTTGGTAGCATAATTAAGACTTCTGATCTTCTACTTTAGCAATATTTTCTCTACTAACTACTCTCTTCTATCAGATTTCAATCCTGGAATAAGCCCTCTCCCTTCAAACCTACGTATTGGCATACCAGTGTTCTTCTTTCTGACATTTTGTAAGTTGGGAATGATTTTAATAAGGGGAAAAGTGATACTTACTTTGTGACATCCGCTGCCTCATTTCTTAGAACCTAACGCAGCCCAATGCTTAGAAGTCTGAGCATCTCAGAAGCGGCTTGTTGGGTGCTAGCAAGCCCCATTGCATTGTGGGATCAGTTGTGTAGAAGAAGCTAGTGGTCAGAGACTCGTTCATCCTCTGTGCACGTAATGAGCAGAGAAAGCTTGTCTCAGCCAGAAGACCTTACCTGACAAGATTTGCAGCATTCTCCTTCTGCACAAGTAAATCCTGGCTTCAACATACATTTTTCTGCATCGCAGCAAGAATTAGCACATTCCTTGGACATAATCAAAAATGAAAGATCAGGAATTGATTTGTCATTTGCCTTCTGTTTGAATAGTTAAGTTGGTCCTTGTCTGTGCAATTTAACATCTATTATCTCTAAGAGCTAGATGCAAACACGTGGCCCTCCACTATGATAAGTATATGTAAACTATTTGCTCAGAACTTGTGTTGGGAATTTTACTGTGTTTCCGCCTTTTGTGATTATCCAGTACCCCATAGCTAAAAAATTCTCCTGGGAAACAATAGAATCCAAAGTTTGTGACACTAGATTCTCCTGATGACTTTGAATACCTGAAAGGGCCCATTGTTTCTCTATACTCAATGGCAGTTGTGTGATAATACAACTTGTAAGATACTGGTTTTATGTTTTGCTCAGCCCCCAAGAGTATGGAGAAAAAACATTTCCCTCAATCTATCACTGACTGACTACTGCAAATGTTCACTTATCTGCTTTAGTCAAACTAAAGTGATGGAGAAAATTATGTGTCTGCCTGGGTACCTTGCATGTTAAGATTGAACTGCAGAACTGTTCCAAAGACTGGCAACATGGTCCATTTTCAAAACAAAAATATTTTATCTATGTTCTTATTCTTATGAAAACAATACCTAGCAATTCAAAATTTTTCACATGTACCATTCTGACATTGGCAGCCCATATGTTGTAAACTCCAAATAGGTTTAGTCTGCAGGTAAATTCTCAAGTCACCCCATAGATGGTGATCATTCGCTATCCTAACAGGTCTCTTTTGGATGGTGTATGTCTGGAGCATATACTAAAAAGATGGTTCTCAGACTAGTAGCACCAGCATAACTTTGAACTTGGTAGGAATATAGAATTCCAGCCCTATCAGAGACTCACTGAATCATAATCCACTTTTTAACATCTCCAGGTGATTAATCAAAAACTGTCAACTCTCTGCCATTTTGTGATGATGGTATATAGTGAACCCCTGTGGGTGTCTGAGACTGTAACTATTTAGAGAAGTAGAAAGCCCAGTCTATCTCCCAAGGAGCTGCTGGTGGTTTAGAACTGCTGACCATGTGGATTGCAGCCCAACATGCAACCATTATACCATCAGGGCTCCTAGGTATTTAAATTTTGAGAATTGGTTATAAGTACATATACTATATCACATGCAAGTAAATTTTTGCTGAAGATCATCCAACAACTATTGCAAAAGTACATTGATGGGAATTGCCAGAGGTTCAGCCTGCATTCCGAAGAGGATGTTGAACAAGAGTTATCATAGCTCATGTCAGATGGATTGCCTCAAAGCGTCAATACCAGAAAGATGTTTGTGTTTTATGAACTATGATCCATGTGGATCATAACAAACTATGGATAACCTTGAGAAGAATGGGAATTCAAGAATACTTCATTGGCACAATGCAGAACTTTTACATGGACCAAGAGGGAATGGCACAAACAAAACAAGGGAACACTGCATGGTTTAAAATCAGGAAAGGGGTGTGTCTGGGTTCTATCCTCTCCCCGCACTTATTCATTCTGTATGCTGAGTAAATAATCAGAGAAGGTGGATTATATGAAGAAGAATGTGGCATCAGGATTGGAGGAAGGCTTATTGACAAGCTGCAATATGCAGATGACAGAACCTTGTTTGCTGAAAATGGGAGGACTCGAAGCACTTGTTGATGAAGATCAAAGATTGCAGCCTTCAGTGTGGATTACAGCTCAATGTAAAGAAAACCAAAATGCTCACCACGAGATCATGATAAATGAAGAAAGATTGAAGTTGTCAAGGAGTTCATCTTGCTCGGATCCATAATCAATGCTCATGGAAGCAGCACTCAAGAGATCCAAAGACGCATGGCATTGGGTAAATCTGCTGCACAAGACCTCCTTGAGTGCTGCCTATCAAGGATGTTACTTTGAGGACTAAGGTGGTGCTGAGCCAAACCATGGTATTTTCAATCAAATAAGATGCACGTGAAAGTTGAACACTGACTAGGTACGACAGACGAAGAATCAATGCAATTGAATTGCGGTGCTGCGAAAGCCCCATGAACCGTATGTTGAAAGAGCCACAGTGAAAGCACCATGGATTGTCATAAGGGCTAACATGTCTGTGTTGGAAAAAGTGTGGCCAGAGTGCTCCTTAGAGGCAAGGATAGCGAGACTTGGTGTTATCTGCTTTGGACATGTTGTCAGGAGAAACCAGTCCCTGGAGAAGGACATCATGCTTGGTAAAGCAGAGTGGGGGGGATAAAGGGAAGGCTTCTCCCAATGGAGTGGCTTCACCAATGGACTCAAGCATAAGAAAAATTGTGAGGATGGTGCAGGACCAGGCAGTGTTTCCTTCTATTTTGCATAAAGTTCCTATGATTTGGAATTGACCAGATGATGCCTAATAACAATCACAGCAATTACATGACATGTTCTCAAAAGAAATAGACAATTTGTGTTTTTTCCCTCAAGGACTTAGTCTGGAAGATTTCCCTCAAGGACTTAGTGTACATGTTCCAGAAACCAAGACTCCAACAAACAGGTGACAGGTTAAAAGGTTTCTGCTCTAAGAAAGAGTTTTCTAATAACTCGAAGTGTCCTACTGTGATATCAACTAACATCCTAGCCTCTGAGTTAAAACTCAAGTAACTGACTATGAGAGGTTCGGTAGAACAGATTTCTACTGGGCATAGAGATTAGATTTAAGGACCCCTAGTGGTCCTTCTCAGGAAAAGAACCAGTTAGCATATGAATGAGGCAAATGAGCTGCAGCTGACCTCCAACAAGAGCATCCCATGTGATTATTGATAACTTCATAAAAAACTTTGCAATGAGGCTACACCAAATGCTTGTTTCCAAATGAACACAAAACGTGCCATTTAAGAAGCTTTATCAGGAACACGAGGGCAGATTAATGGCTACCTTGCTATTGGGTTCCAGCTGACGATAAAGTTTCTAATTTAATCACGACAATATTTGGAAATACCTGAATGGAGCCACAGTCACACTCCTCTCCTTCATCCAACTTCTTGTTTCCACAATATGGGAAATCAGTGAATTGATCAGAAAATGCAACTTCCATAAGGCATGGCGGTTTATGATCCTTCAGGTAAGTCAGGTATTGGTTTTTGCTGCATTTGCTAAATTTTAATGCAGGGATGCTACAGATATGATGGATTAAAAATAAACATTAATAAAATTAATACATAGTAGTAAAACAGCTGTGAAGAGTTTAGAACTAGCGATTACAAATGATAAACCCTAAAAGCCCTTTAACATCGCTTACAGTTGTCTTACTTTACAAGGCATTAAGTAACTTGGTTCTTTATTATAAAAAAGTCATTTATACATAGCCAACATGCTACTTTAGTGTTTGCTGCTCCATATTGACATTTATTTGTCTCTCTATCAATAATTTTCTTATTTTATTATCCTGACAAGTTTATAGGGTTCTCAAGGCAACAACTGTAGGCAGTTCAACTTTTTTTTATAAGTCATTACTTGTTGACTTGATGCCTTGTGCAGAATTGTCTTCCCAAAATATTTGTTAAACAAAATTATTTATTTAACAATATTTTAATTATCCCAGGAATGTGAAACTGAAAATTTCACCCCTCTCCTATCTTTCTTCAGCTTGACATTATATCCACACAGTGGTTGGGAACCTATGACTCTTAGACCTGAGTACTTTAGATTGTAATGGTGGCATCACTGAAAATACAATATAATTATGTGGATGATGATGTAAAGCGAGATATCAGGTATGGGCTTCTCACTTTCTTTCAGTCACTCTGTTGGCTGCTTTACCTACTTTATCGCCTTTGTTGTGATATTGAAATACTGGTGATCATCAATACACACGTTCTAAATGTTAGGAAATCCTCTGTGAAGATGAGTAAGATTTAGTACCTAACTACAAAATGCTTCCAGTAGATTCTGGGAATTCTGGACATTGATTCATTCCATAAAGACTATGGAGTCCCTAAAATGTACCTAGGGGGCAGTGGATGATTGGATTCTTCTAAAATGCAGGAGACTGGGCGTCGATTTTGGCCAATGCATCTCTTGTGTGGCCAGTACCCATCTGATCGTGGTAGCCTGTATGTGGCTGGAGTCCTGGTGGTGCAGTGGTTAAGCACTCAGCTACTCACTGAGAGATCAGTGGTTTGAGCTCACAAATAACTCCATAGGAAAATGATGTGACTGCATACATCCATAAAGAATACAGTCCTGGAAACCCTTTGGGGCATGTCTACTCTGTTCTACAGGGTTGCTATAAAGCAGGATCCACTTGATGGCAATGAGTGTGTGTGATGCTCTAATGCTGAACTGTTTCAGTGACTAACATGGACCAGGAAATAAGATCTAGTGATCTATTTCTTAAAAACTAGTTCATGAAAACCACATGGATTACAGTGGTAACATCTGCAATTAGTAAAGAGGATGGCATGTCCACTCTTTTTGCTTTATTGTGCACAGGGTCACCATGAGGCAAGGGCAAATCCGTGGCAATTAACAACAACTTATTCCTGAGACTTTTGTAGGCAGTAGCCATATAACAGTAAACAAAACACCCAACCCTCTGACCTCATGAGTCAAGCCAAAGGAAACAATATATGAAATAAGTAGAATGAATAAATGCTAGGGAGAAATAACCAAAAGGCAATGGAACGTGCCTGGATGTGTGTGTTGACAGGACTGAAAGGTTTGGTCAAGTGGCTAATAAGGACGATGCCGAGGTGAACATGTAAATGGAAGAAAAATGTAATAGGTTATAGCACAGATGAGCAAATAAAGGAGTGTAATTCTCCTTTAAATGTCCTGGTATGGATAGTAGTAATTTGTCATTGTGTACTTTTCCAAAATTCTCAGATGGAGTTTTAGAATTTCTATTACCATATCACCACTAGAGACAATGACTGATGAGATTCAGTCCTAAAAGGGAAACTCCCTGTCATGCCTGGTTTTATGATATATCCTTTAGGGACTATTATGGTTAAAAACCCACTGAATAACAACATATTACCACAATATGAAATTTTAATCCAAAAATCACCCCCCAAATTTTTTTTTTTTCCCCCCTCTGGAAAGATTTTTATTTTGTTTGGTTTTTTTTTGTTGTTGTTTTTTGTTTTTAATCAATTTATTGGGGCTCATACAATTCGTCACAATACATAGATCAATTGTGTAAAGCACATCTATACATTTGTTGCCCTCATCATTCCCAAAATTTTCTTGCCTCTTGGGTTCCCGGAATCCGCTCA